GAAATCAATGTAGTCGCTTTTAAGTAGTTGGTGTTAGTAAACTCTGACAAGTAGTGGGGGCCCAAATCGTGGCGGGCTTTACGGGGGGAGCAGTGAGACCTTGAACTTGACCCAAGACATCATAGGTAACCAGTGCAGGCGAGCCAGGACTGAGATGTGATCGAATTTACTTACACCCTCTACCAGCCTGGAAGCCGCATTCTCAACCTGCTACAGTTTCTGAGTCAACCTCAAGTGAAGCCCCAACTAGACAGTGTTCCAGTAGTTGATCCTGGAGATCACCAGTGTCCTGAGAGCTCTAGGTAGGGGCAGAGCTGGGCAATAAACCTCAGCTGATTAAAGGCCAACCTGGAGACGGTTGCAATGTGGGATTCCCAAGAGAGAGCCCAGTTCAGGAGCAGGCCCAGGTTCCCAACTTGAGGTCTACACCATCCAACTAAGGGAAGATACCCCCTAACCTAGCAGAGGGACAGAGCAGGAGGAGGATATGCATCTTACTCAGATTCAGCTTAAGGCTACTCGTCCTGGTCTATTCCAGAATCGAAGCTGGGCAACACTCCAGCATCTGGACAGCATTTTTGCAAAAGTAGAAAAGGATATCTATTTTCCAGCTTTTGATTCTGCTTGTTTTATTTGTTGACAGAAAGAAACAGCTTAAATATGCAAACAGATAAATATAAAAAAAAACTGAAACAGAGCTGGACAGGACACAGTTCTAAGTACTCTCCCTGAACAGAAATGATCACGCTTGTAAATGGGAAATTATTTTCTCTGGATTCATTTACATATTATACCAAAGTGACCTGAAAGCCTCTCATTTGAGGCACCTGGAAAAACTACCATACAGATTCTCAAAATGTATTGCATCAATGTTTTCTATAAGCAGCTTTTCTATAAGGCATTCCTTTGTCATCATTCCTTCTTTTGCATCTATTGTATTGGATGACACTGAAAAGTAATAGAAAAATACAGCAATCAACAGCAAATACTGCATTTCAGGAGGTACTCATTTCTTATAATAACAAAATACATCTTCCATTGTCCACAGTGATTCAAATCAGACACACCAAAAGCAGGGGCCTTTAAGGGACCAATTCTTCCTGAACTGGGGGAAAGCGGAAGTCAGACTTTGGTGAAGAAAAAAATACATAATATGATTGGATTTTATGTACTTTTGTTTGATTTCAATTTTTTTGTTGTTTTTAAATAATTTATATTAAGGTTTTGTGTTTATTTAAACTGTAAATGTATTTATTTCAAATTATTGATTATATGAAAAGAGTTTGGATGATGGTGAAAGAATGGAAGCATGAGGATCAAGACATTTTGAAACCATTGTTCTAAGACCCTGGAGTAGTTTTGTTGGCTCCCTGATTTCCTTATCAAATTTTCACCAATATATGATAAAAAAAACCATGAGGAAAAAGAAATATTTTTATCATAAGTAACAATAGATCCTAAGTAATCTATACTGAATTTTTGTTCTTTATATATTCTACAAATTTAAGCATTTGTACATAATGCTGTATTGTGTGCATGGACTCCAAACTTACTTATGGCCCCTGATTATTAGATTTCACCAACTTTATTATGAACACAGAATATCAAACAGAAAGAGCCAGGTGAGAAAGAGAATGAGGCTATCTCTATCTGGAAACCAAGCAAACCCCAATTATATGAATGCTGCCTATTTCTTGTCTAAAGTATGCTGAACCCGTCGTATTAAATCAAAAGCAGCATCTTGAACTATGCTCCAAAATTTTACAGATTGGCTCTGTAAAAGGAGCTTTCAGTAACTACTTTTTGTCAGCGGATTCTGAGCATCCCATTTGCCCATGCTGACACTGATAAATCTCCTCCCAGTGTCTTGTGTAGAATCGTCAAGGTTAAAGATGTCAATGGCCTACTAAACCATAAAATCTTTTCCCCTTAGGGAAAGGAGGACAGGCGATAATCTCCATTGGTATATAATGCATATTAAAATATATCATGCTGGTTCTTCGCTTTGAAAAAGCCAAACTTAATGCATTCAATAGTACAAATGGCAAGGCAAAAACTGATACATATTTGCAAACAGCTTCTTCCAGTGTTGAGATGGCAAGCTTTTGAATTTAAAATAATTAAAAAATAAGACACATTAACCAGACATCAAAGGGAAAAAATGAGAAATGCAAGCCCTAGCATAAAATGAGACACGAGGCAAATGAATTTTTACCTTAAATATTAGAAGGGATTAAGGGTTTTAAGCAAGAGTCTTTCTAGAATGTGTCGCTTATCAACTGAAGAGTAAGGAGATAAAATGGAAGTGCTCAGACGCCAATCCCACACATATAAAACCCACATAAATTATACTTTGTAATACAGAGAGATTTCCTCTCTCAGACTCCAAAACAGATTGCTGCATGTGTGACTGCATGGGTTGGGTGTTGGTATGACTGTATGGTGGATTTCTTTGTATTAAAACCTCTGTCTACTTCGCAGAATTGAAGAGAAAACCTTGAAAATATGATTTCATAGTGTACTACAATGTCAGAGGTTCAAGGCCTATAACAGTAAGAAAGAGTTTGGCATATCTGTCGCTTGTGTTTGGCATATTTATCATACTCTGAAAACTTTTTGAAATGTTTCTAAGGGTCACATGGAACAAGGGTGTACTGGGGGAAATGGCACACAAATCACATATAAAAGTGTGCAGTTGTGCAAAATACATCATGCGAAAGGCTGAACTGGAGGAATCCCAAGCCAGAATTAAGATTGCTGGAAGAAATATCAACAACCTCCGATATGCAGATGATACCACAGTGATTGCAGAAAGTGAGGAGGAATTAAAGAACCTCGTAATGAGGGTGAAAGAGGAGAGTGCAAAAAATGGTCTGAAACTCACCATCAAAAAAACTAAGATCATGGCCACTGGTCCCATCACCTCCTGGCAAATCGAAGGGGAAGAGATGGAGGCAGTGACAGATTTTACTGTCTTGGGCTCCATGATCAGTGCAGGTGGAGACAGCAGCCACAAAATTAAAAGACACCTGCTTCTTGGGAGGGAAGCAATGACAAACTTAGACAGCATCTTAAAAAGCAGATACATCACCTTGCCGAAAAAGGTCCGAATAGTCAAAGCTATGGTTTTTCCTCTAGTGATGTATGGAAGTGAGAGCTGGACCATAAAGAAGGCTGAGAAGGAAATCAACCCTGAGTGCTCAATGGAAGGACAGATCCTGAAGCCGAGGCTCCAATCCTTTGGCCATCTCATGAGAAGACTTCCTAGAAAAGACCTTGATGTTGGGAAAGTGTGAGGGCAAGAGGAGAAGGGGACGACAGAGGATGAAATGGTTGGACAGTGTCATCGAAGCAACCAACATGACTTTGACCCAACTCCGGAAGGCAGTGGAAGACAGGAGGGCCTGGCATGAGGTCACGACGGGGACACGACTAAACGACGACAACGTGCAATGGGATCCTTCCCAGTCCTCCCCTTGTGGATTTCCATCTTTGGAGCAGCTACTAAAGGAACACACAACCTCACTGCACAACTTTGCAGGATCTTCATTACAAGAGTATTTTTAAATGACTTGCTCCCTTCTCCGAGTTGAACTGCGCAGTTATAGGTGGATGTTCTGCCTCTGAGCCTGTGAAAAATGCATTTCCCCCAAGTCAACTCCATAGCCATTATCCTCAAGGTAGTGAATAATACATCCTTTTCCCAGTAAGGAGCTGTTTTTCAAAAATGTTCAAAATGTGCTTCTTCTTTGTATGTGTGTTCAGGTCTCACAAACAGGGATTTCCCCCTCATTTTTTAAAATGTAAAATTATTTAATATAATTATATTTCAATGTCCACAATGCTTTTGGTGTTCAGAATGCAGGGGAGAAATAAGTTTCTTCAGTTGCTTCTGCTTTAAAAAAAAAAATTCATATATTGTTTACCTATATATTGCTCTGGCAGTGTTCACAGCAGGATGCCATATAAATACTGAATAAACAAGAACATAAATCAACACTCCTAGGGCAAAGTATGGGCGTTAATGTTTTTTTTAAAAAAATCCTAAGACATAGCAAGCTTTTCAGAACACTTCTTCAGCCAAAAAAATAATAATAATACTGATTTCTGAGAAGAGACAAGGGGAAAACGCTGAGATGTCGTCGTGGAACTTGTCCCCTCAGGTTTGCCTACGGGGACACAGTGTCCTAAAATCCTGGCTAGGTTTAAAAAAAAAAAAACAGGACTTTTTACTTGTCCCTCACGCGTCGCCCCTTCTTCCCCTCCTCAAAAGGAAACTCTCGCTCTTTTCCACACAACCTATACTCGTCGTCCCTTCTTCCCCTCCTCAAAAGGAACCTCTCGCTCTTTTCCACACAACCTATACTCCCTCATCCCTTCTAACGTGCCTTCGTCCCTGTGCCTTTTCCGTTGGCACCGTGGGCCAGGCAAAAGGCAAATCCCCCTCAGGAACCGCTCTCGTGAGGTAAAAGGACGCTCCCTTCCCAGCCACCCAAAAAGGGCGGGAAACAGCGGCGCTGAGGGTGAACGAACAACTTTCCCCTCACGTTCCCCTCCTCCGGAAAAAGGCGGGAGGAGCCTGAAGCCACGCCCCTTTCGTGTGTGCGCGCCCTGATGACCCGCCCCTTCTTTCCTCCCGTTCATATCTTTTTTTAAAAAAAAGCGCGAGCTCGTCCGTCGGGGGAGGGCGGGGCTAATCGGGGGGGCGCGCGCGCTCCTCGAGCAACCGCCAATCGCAGGAGTGCGCGCGCCTCCTCTTTTCTCTCTCTCTCTCTCCGCCTGCATTCTGTAACGGTCTGCCCAAGCCGCGCGAGACGGCGCACAAAGTACGCATGCGCCGGTTAGTCTGCTCCTTCTCTCCCCCTCCCATCCCGGGCCGCTTCTCTTGTCTTCTCCCTTCCCCGGCTCTTGCAACACTCGAGACCCTTTCTAAGGCGCAGGCGCAGCGCTCCCTTCTTTTTTTTCCTTGAAGGCCGCTTTTTAACACCCCGCCCACACACAGAGAGATATTCCCTTCGCTACCCGTCGTGCTTTGCGCGGCCGCTGGCACTGACGTGGCCGCCGGGAGCCGCCATCTTGTGTGCCTGGGCGCAGTGAGGGAGGAAAAGGGACGGGAAGGAGGGGAGGGGGGGAGAGAAGGCAGGCGACGCGGAGCCACGAGCAACGGCAACAGGGGCCCCTCCGGTCAGGAGCGCGCTTAGCCGAGACGCCGCCCGGTAAGGACCGTCCCCTTGGAGGGCGCCTTAAAGGGGAAATCAAACCCCCTCCTTCCCTCTCCCTTTTCACCTTCGCCCAGACCGGGGGTGGGCTCCTGGGGTGAGGGGGAGTCGGAGGCCGCGGGCAAGGCCTGGCCTGGGCCTCAGCCCGGTGAGGGTGGGGTGGAAGGCGGCTTCCCCCCCCTCCCGGGGTCGGAGCTACTCTTCCTCCTCCCCCTCCCTTCCTTTTCCTCCCTTCCTTCCTTCTCTCTTCCCCCCCCAACCTTCCCGTTCGCCGCCTTGCCGCACCGCGGAGAGGAAGGGAGGCCCAGGCCTCTCCCTCGCAGCCTTGTGGGGACTCCTGTCCAGGAGGGGGACGCCGTGAGGGGAGGCTCTCACAGCCGTTTATAACCCCACTCGGCCCTGCCTGTGGCCTGTAACAAAACTAAGATTTCTCGGCTAATTCAACAGACTCTCCCTCACTCAGGTCTGCTTCTCGGTCTCTCCCCCCCCTTTGATCCCCTCTCCCCCCTCCCTTCTTCTGTGGGTTAAGTTTTGTGTTTCAAAGGAACTCCCTTCTGTTGCTTCCCCTCTAGAGAGCAGGGCCCCCACCCATCCACCCCATCGGGCGATGGCTTTAAAAACCTTTCCCCCCCTTTTAAAATCTAGATCGGAATTTTAAAAGGGATTGATTGTATTTTTTTTAATTCTCACTCGCCCTCCGTTGATACCTGGAAAGGGGGGCTCTTTTCACAAAGCCTGCTGTCGAGAGGAGAGGAAGGTGGAGGGCTTGGTTTTGTTCTCTCTGAGAGTTTGTGGGGGGTTTTTGGGTTGGGGGCAAACCCTTGTTGGTCTGAATTGCCCCCCCCCCGGAAAAAAAAACCAAAAATATCTCTGTTCGGAATTTGGGGTTGATCAATGGACAGGGGCCCCCTTTCTTCCTCTTCATTCCTTCCTCCCACTCCCACCCCACATCCGTAAAATGTGGATTTGGGCCCAGGGTTTCGGTGGATAGGGTGGGGAAGTTGATTTTGATGACTTAGTCATTCCCTGGTGACTTCATCAGCGGGACAGAAAGTTACGCAAGGGCAGAGTCGAGCCGGAAAGGGCAGAGGAGAAAACTCTTCCTCTTCTCTAGGAGCAGGAGAGAAAATGCAGATTGTTGTGTTTCTCAATAATCCAGGAGGTCTCAGGATTTTGAGCCCTCCGCTTCTCCATGGGATGAGACACAAGTGGTCTCCCACGAAACAAACCCTTTCTGTGCTTCATATGCTTATCTTGTGTGGCAATATTCCTTCCCCACCCCAAAATGCGGTGCAACATTGGCAGCCCTGGACTCATTGGCACTGGTAGCCTCTGCAGTTCAAGGCAGGCAGATGCACTCCGTTGGCAAGAAGCCCATCATCCTCTTGTATTTTTAGCTAATACAATTTCAGTTGGAAGATATTTTATGACATAACTTTGCCAATATGTGGTAATGATAGGTTGTACATCTGGAAGGTGGTAGAGAAAGGTAGCAGGTGTTCCTGGTACTTCTAACTTTGCCAATATGTGGTAATGATGGGTTGTACATCTGGAAAGTGGTAGAGAAAGGTAGCAGGTGTTCCTGGGTCAATCCAGTGAATGGACTTGGAATTACCGGTATGGTTTCTTAGTCTTTGCTGTACATTACCTTAGGGGCATCGTCCTCTGTCAACAGCGGTGCATTTTGTGTGCCTTGCATTTGTAACTCTGGTTGTCAAACAACTGAAAATGTAACGGTATTTGTTGTGTTTCAGTTTTTTAAATGAAATGTATCTCCTTTCAACAGCATGCCATGGGTTTTATTAGGATTGTGTTTTAGGATGAAAGCTTGGAAATAGGGGTTCTTAAAATACACAAGATCTGAAGAGCATTTTTGTGCAGTTTTTTTTTGTATCTGCTGTGTAAAGTGTTTAGAATAAGAAACACTCAAGGTCAAGGAAGTTCAGATAAGAAGTTATATTCATTTCCTAACTTTTGGCCTAATTTTCTTCTGTATTATATATCCATATATAAATTGAACACGCTGACTTTGCTCAGATAGCTGTGCCTCTTTGTCCATGAAACCATCCTCTAATAGGTTTCTGGGTATTGTAGGAGTGTGTTTATTTTAAAAGGTTGTAATGTGTCCCCTGTGGCATATATTTTATTCTACATCCTGCCTTTTCTCCAGCACAGGGACCTAGGGCAGCTTCCAAAATGACTGATACAGCTAAAGAGAGAGAGAGAGAAACAGCCTATAACTAGTAAAAATTGTGTTAAACAAATAATAAAAACTATTTAAGAAAAGGAGAAAAATATAGTGCCTCCTATTAAATGTTTATTCTTGAATATCTAGTCAGTTGCCCAGAGTCTGGCAGGATAGACATTTTTGCTCACTAGCAGGAAGACATCTGAAAAGGGACATAATTATTGGCAAGAAGAGCTTTGAAATAAATTTTTGTGCCACTCATATCCTTTTGGCCCCACCTATCCCTGGAATGTGGCCCCCTCCCCTGTTCTGAGTGATTCTGCCTTTTGCTGAAGGAAATACCCCTCTGCCATACAGAATGAGGGTTACTGAAGAAAACTTGCTTCATGTTTCAGGTGAACACATGGCATACTAGAGTTCTTCTGCCATATAGGCCATACATTAGAACTAATTCTGACAGCTTTGTCATTCCATTGCTGTCTCATCGTGCCATTCTGCCTTGTAAAACAGGTCAGATGTTTTTCTTTTTTTTAAAAAAAATATCTGGATTTTCACCTTCCCCTTTTTTTCTGTCTGGCTTCTTCAGCCACAGCTTCCAAGTCACTTTGTAAACCAGGTCCACAAAAATACTGCAGGTTAAGAGGTGACATTCAGCTCTTTATGAAGGTGGCTTTAGGTTTGGGAATTCATTGAGAAAAAAAGTTCTTGTGATAGGAAAAAAACTGTACACATCATTTTTTACTTTCATCTCTTCATTTCCAGTTTGGCGAACCATAACCACTTTCTGTCCGATTGGGCCTATAGTCTACAATTCAAAGGGCACTTTTTCCTGTAATATAGTAGATCTCTTGCACAATATTTTCAAGGAAGTATCAGATTGCACTGGAACATAAAGTTAGATTTGTCATTGTCTTAAAGATTTCATAGGTCAAAAAATTAAATAGTTTCATTGTTTGTCTTTGAGTTTATCAGCTGTCTTTCCACTACAAATTGCTCATATGGGCTGAACACACCTATAAGATTTTACTGGAATTACTGCTGTTAAGAGCAGGCCAGAAAGTTTTCTCTTCAAAGTAGTTGTGGAATTTTTGAAATGCTACTTAGCTTGACACAGTGGTCCTTCATGTAAAGTACTGGTCTTCCTCTCTGGGGTGAAATGAAGAGTTGCTATTCCAAAATAATGCAATAAAATGTAAAGGTTTGCAACTTTACACCTGGCTTCTAGCCATACATCCACCCATAGTCTTACTTTAGACTCCTTCTGAAGAAACTTGTTTTTGTAGCATTCAGTAATCTTTCACAGCACAGGAAGAGGGAATCCAGGATCTGGCAAATGAAATAAGAAGAGGTAGGAAATAGCCACGCTGTAGCCTCTTAAAGATTTCTACCTCATAGCTAGAGAAAAGAGGCAGGGGTGTATAGTGTTCTCTATCCTTCATGAGTGCCCCTAAATAGACCCCTGCATCTTTGCTTTCAGATCCATTCTGGAGTTCTCGATAGTCTTTCCACAACTGGAGTATTGGTGTGATGTTAAGACAAAGCAAGTATCTGTTCCTCCCCCACCCACCTCCTGTAAAGTGTTCAACTCTTCTTTAGTTTCAGACTTGGAATGGATAGAGAAGCAGAAGTATATTTCCTGAAGTTGTGTTGCAGTTCTAAGACAGGTTCAAAGGGAAGGCTCTACTCTGCTCCTAATGAAAGTGGGATCGTGATAAAAATCATTGGGGTTGGTCACCAAATCAAGCCATGAACCTGGTCATCCCTTAGTGGATGGCTCAGTTCGTAAGCATTGAGTACTGTTAACTAGAGTGAGGGGTTTTCCTTTTCTAGTCCATGTATGATATATTTCTAGGGTAATTGTGCCTGTTTCTATAATTTGACCAAATCTGTCTCTTCAATACTTTTTTCAAAAGTCACTGACCAAAGACAGCAGACCTGCCTTTGGAAATACCGAAATATTCATATTTTCTTAAGCTATCACATTAAACAGCCGTTAATGAGTTTAGCACTCACCAGTTTCTAAACTAATCTAGTGGCCATTACAAGCAAGTAATAAAAATTGTAATCCAATTTTGAATTTTGCAAAGTCCTTTTGATCTGGTAAATGAGGGCAGTGCTTCAAACAATGCATAATTCACTATACTGATTGGCCTAGATTGGGGGGGGCATAATTTGGGAACATTGAATGGTAGTGTTGTCTGAGCAGTTAGCAATCATTTGTTTCCATCAGTGTCTGCTGTAAGACATCCAGTACACCCACACACCAACATGTTTTAGCATTTTATGGCTTCTGGGGAAAATGTGTGATGTTAATGTATCGTTTCTGGGACACATTCATGATTTTACTCTGAAGCATGATATTTTTATATGTTTGAAGAGTGTGGAATAATCTGCTTTCTTTCTCTTTTTGAGCCAATAGGGTTGTGATTCTGTGCCTAGTTACCTGCAGACAAGTCCCATTTAACTTTGTGTAACTTATTTCTCCATAGACACGAAGTCTTCTGCAGGCAACTTAACTACGGTTATCTATGATGTTTCCTTTGCAAACAAGCTCTCTGTTTTTTTGACATTATTAAGAATAAAGAGTACAGTATATGACTAAAAAGGCCATAGTTTTTAGTCATATAGGCTAATTGTCTAAAGCTTTGGTATAGTATTTATCAGACTGATTATCAGACTGCAAAGATGGTGCCCTTGGCTCATACATATATATATAATTTAGTCACCTTGAACCGTTTGATCCTGCTAGTGGAATGCAATTTGGAAATAAATGTTTATTTATTCATTCATTTATTTATTGCACTTATAT